TCACTTGGTCTGGCAACTTACATTTTGGCAGTGCTTGAACAGTTGAATGTGGACCATTGAGCTTCTGTCTACATTTGCTAACCTTAAATTAGAATTCTTTGGATCAAGGTTACTGAAATTAGATAGAAATATGAAGCTCTAGCCTCTAGGTTTCTGCGTGGTATTGACGTGCGTTAGGCATCCGTACCACTGAATGCCATTGGTTTGAATCTCCAGAATAATTTATATTGTTTATGCATTGGACAGATCATGATGTCTCTTAGGAAGTTTTCTGTTAGGAGTTAGCTTCTTTATCTATATATACGAATGCCACGTGAAGTACGCAATGATGTTACATTTGTTTGTGTCGTTAGAATGACCTTCCCAGCCACTTGTTAGCAATCCTGAAGAAGCAAAGTTTGTAAGTTTCTTGTCCCAAGCTGAAGGAGTTACTCATTGGTCCATCTTAATGGTAGAATGAAAGATTGTTTGACTTTTGGGGGTTCATTTTGCAGAATAGTAGATATGGAGTGTTGATTTATTTGTTTGTTTACTACTTCTGATCTCTAGTACAATATTTTGTATTGGGGCAATTCAGCTGCCACGTGTTTGTGATCAAGGGGAAGCGACATTTTTGGTTTTTGCGTAAAGGTTTTTCCTTTAATTTGGCCAATGTCCTGTTTATCCTGGTTTTTGTTCTTTGACTTCCAATTTTGCACTACAAAATTGTCTAAAAAGAGAAGAAGCATAATGAATTCCATGATGGAGTCATTATAATCTGTTGATGATAGATTTTATTAGTCATTCCGAGGTGTTAGCGCTATAAATGATGCTTTCGTTGGAGGAACTTCTTTTAAATGATTCATTCTTTCTTTCCAGGGTGTTGGTGACTCTAAGAAATCCAGACCGCTAGTAAGTACAGGTATAAACGGTGAGTATCACTGTGGGCTGCCTCTTGTTTTAAGAATCTATTCCGAGCTGAAACTAAGTTAGTGATGGCAATGGTAAATTGTAAATCCGTTCAGCGAGAATACATGACCCTTCAACTTTGAAGCATGAACTTAAGAAGAATTCTGAGTGCCTAAATGTGTTTTGTAGGTGCTCCAGGTGGCAGTAAAGAGATGGCATCTTCCGAAATTCATTCACAATCGCGTTTTGGCTCCCTTTTTAAGAAAAAGATGGAAGATAACGTATGCTGCTTTACTTGATATTCCTACATGAATGTTAACTCACATCCGCTCCACATATAATTTATGGTTACTGCCTTGTTATATTTCATTTGACAGGCAGATCATAAGGTTGCTAATGCATTCGATAGCGAACTATCCGCTCTGGGTACTCACAGCCGTCCAAAACTGAAACTCAATGAGGGGTTGTCACTAAATGGAAGGCAGAAAAATGGATCAAGAAAACGGAGTTTTCAATCTTCTTTTGGTTGGAAGGACAGGGGAATTTCATCCGATTCCTTCTACAGTAAAGGGCAAAGTGCATCTAAACATTTTTCTAATGGGTAAGAAGTTCTCATCTACCATGTTTGCTTATGTGTATGCTGTCCTGATGGTTTTTGCCTACATGTCGGTGTGATTTCTGTTTCTTATCTGTGGCTAATTGTGTTGAAGGGACAGCAGCAGTAAGAACTTGGTCCCCTGTATGAATACTAATTAGATGGTCTAGTATAGGGCTTTTGGTATAGATGAAAACTAATGTGACCTGCTTTCCTCACCTTGCTTTCTATTTCCTATTTGACCTAGCTTTTGATCTAGATTTTTGTCCCATTTAAGATGGCACACTGGATAGCCAAGTATTGGTAATGGTATTGGTTCCTTTCAGCCATGCTTTTCATTTTGAAATTGATGTGTCTGACTATGTCGCCCTTTATATGCACTAATGTGGAAGCAATTTTTTGCTGGGTTTGCATCAAATGCGTGTTAATCCATAATCTTATCTGCAACATTTTTTTTTAGCTTATCTTTCAATCTTATGTTCCTCCTGTGTACCAGAGTGGCAAGCTTTTCTCGGATTAATGTTTATTTCCTTCATTTCAGGGTTTTAGGTAGAAAAGAGGAATCTCGGGTCCCACCTTCATATGGTCTCAGACATAGAAAGGCAAGTAGGGGAGAATACAATACCTAAACTTCTTGGCACTAAGATCTGCTGGCTATATGTAGATATACATGGTTTCTTTTCGCTGCATCTTTATGTTTGGTGCTGTACTAAGAATAAATTAAATTTGAAACTTTTTGAATGTTCTTGAGGAATATTGGGTGGTTAATCTCTTAGTCTCTAATTCCATCAGCATATGCTCAGCATTGATGTCTTCCTAGTTTTTGTTAGACAGCACCCTGAAGTAATGTTGTTTCCTGGTAGCATAGCGAATTGAATATTTATATTATCTAGGTGTTCATGCTGTCAGACTTCTGATCATAGAAACCAAGGACTTTTTTCTTGGATTGAAAGTGAAGAATTATTTTCTATATCTCTCAGTCGAAATCTGTGCAGCTTTTTTATTCCAATCTTCTGTGAACAGAGGGAGACTGTGGTTGTTTTGGATGATGATGATGAAGTTCTGGAGACACTTGATTGTATAGATGAAACACGTGATGAATGGTAAGTTCAGATTCAAAGGGCGTTTTCTTTTTTGTTTGTTTTTGTTTTGTTTGGCTAGTTACCTATATTAACAACCTTTGATTTTCCCTTTGACCTTCAGCATGAAAGATGCTAAAATCTACTACCCATCAAGGTATTTTTTTAAATTTTCTTTCTTTGGGAATAGAACCAGGAAGAGTCCAGGGTACTAGTGACCTCTTACTTGATATGGATGCAGGGATGATCCAGAGTGTGTTGAAATTTGTTTCCAGGATATAGACTGTCTGGCACCTGAAAGTTTCCTGACATCACCTATCATGAACTTTTACATACGGTAAAGGGAACTTTCATCCTGGTTACCTTTTTTTCGGTGCCAACTGATAGCTCGTACCACCGAGAGCAAAAGATACACAATGTCAAAGAACCATACACAACCTAGTAAGAATAACAAAGCCCACCATACCAGTAGAGTACACGAAAAGGGTTTTTTTTGCTCCTAGATGTGCTATTACCATTTTGTCGTCATTGTACATGGGTTAACAGAGTTTGGGAGCCATGGAATTCGATTTTTCATCTCAGAAGTAAGAGCAAAGGAGGTGTTTTTGGGTGTGGCTGGTTATTGTAGTGAATGTTTGAGCGTTTACACCACTTGTCCATCACTACTTGAATCTGGAAATATTGAGGTTGAGTAGCATCCATGTATTTATATGATCCTTTGTTTAGGTACCTAGAGTTGCAGGCTTCTCCATCTCAAAAGGCTACTTGTGATTATCACATATTTAATACGTTCTTCTACAAGAAGCTTCAACAGGAGTTGTCACGGAAGGTAATTGAATTGATTGCTTCAGAGAAACAGCTGTCTTGGTATGTGAATGCACTATTTTCACCTGCAATCTGTTCTCATGTGTAGGAAAGTGAAAAAGAGTCCCTTTTTGTCAAGTTTAGAAGATGGTGGAAGGGTGTGAACTTATTCGAGAAGGCATATGTACTGATTCCCATACATGAAGAGTAAGTTTATTTTCAGGTTCATTGTACAATTCCTTCTGGTTGCTGACTGCTGCAAGCTTCCTGCTTCCATTTCGTATGTTTAATGGATTTAGCATTTGTTGACTGATCCTTTGTGAAGCTTGTTAAAATAAAAAAGGGACTTGCTTCCCAGGCTTCTTTCTTTCCCTTGATTTGGCGTAATATTTATACATTTTTTCATGGGTGCTGATATATCAGTCTTCACTGGAGCTTGGTGATCATCTGTTTCCCAGAGAAGAAGGACAACAGATCAGGACCAATCGTGCTTCATTTGGACTCATTGAAGCTCCACTATAGCAGAGTTGTTTTGGAGGATATCACCAGGTGAGATAAAAATTACCTTCGAACTGGACAGACTTTTGTAGCTAGGTTTTGGTTGTTCCTGATATTTCAAACAGTTAAATAGATCTCTCACATCACAATTAGTTTCTCATTGAGTAACATCCCGTGTCATTTGCATATCAATCCACAGCTTCTTGAGAGCAGAATGGCAATATTTACGTGAAGAAGTCGTTGCTCAGTCAGATGGTGAGATGTCTGACAGAATACGGAAGCGTCTTCGCAACATTATTTCAAAAAGAATCGAGGTAATCGAATTACTGTGAGTTTGAATTTCATATGATCTTTCTATTCTAGGATTGATAGAGCCCAACAGCTCTTGTATGTCTTCTGATTTCTAAATCACAACGACTACCAGGTTCCACAACAAACAAACGATTATGATTGTGGTACCTTTGTACTTTTTTTCATGGAGCGCTTCATTGACGAGGCCCCCGAGAGGCTGAAAGAAGTTGATCTGGACATGGTATATTTTCCAACACACCCACACCCGCCCACCCATTTCTTGAAGATTTTTTATCACTCTGCTCAAGACATATTATCATATATATATGAACTTTTTTCTGTGTTGCAGTTCGGCAAGCAGTGGTTCAAACCTGAAGAAGCATCTGGCTTGAGAAAGAAAATCAGAGATCTGCTCAAGACCAAGTTTATTGAATCAAGAAAGGACAGCTTTGCTTGCAGATCATCGGCTGCCCCTTCCGGAGAAGTGAGAGCAGCAGAAAATGGTAATTCAGCTGAAGGATCTCTAACTTTGTACAGCTCAGATTCAGGGTAAAGAAGCACAAGGAGTTAGTTAGTTATGTACATCCTGAGAAACAGAGGAAAATTGTGGATACCCATTTTCTCTCGGGCGTGAAATAATAATAGGTAGAGTAAGGTAGAGTTTTGAAGCCCCTCTTCTCTTCTTGCTTTTTCGCGGGTTTTGGCTTCATCATCAAAGTGTACATACATAGGGGAAGTACTGCATTTGTGGGAATTTCGGCACGAAAAAACAAAGTAGTGCCCACCATTCTTAGCAGTCAAAAAGGCTGTTGTACCTCTCTGGATCATCTTTTGATACATGGAAGTATAGCAGCCCTTCATTTTTTGCATTCCAGTTTTACAGGCAGAGCTAAAGGTAAGGAGGTTAGTAGTTAGTAAACAGCAAGTGGTCCGTGCTTGCTTCTAGCATGGATCAAAGCAGTTCCTGTGGTTCGTTTGGCTGCAACACGCCCATCCCAACTGACCCAGAGGTGTTACCGTTAGGTGTTGTTGCAGTTGAAGTGAGATCGGAGACACGAGCAGCGTGCAGGGAGGAAGGACAAAGGGCTGTTTTCTGTTTTCGCAAGGTTGAGTAGGTCGACGATGGCCTCCAACATGGAGACCACGTCCTCCATGGCTGGTCTCTTGGCTGGCTCTTCTTCCCAGCATTGCTTCATGATCGCTGCCAGTGCCTCCGGACAGTTTCCTGGTATCTCCGGTCGTACGCTCTGCAAAATTTGCCGGAGCGATTTCAGGAAACAGAATAGAGGGTATCACAATTCATAATCTGCCGGTTTTGTTTTAACCTTGTAGACGACCGGAGAAGTTTGATGAGAGAATCCCAAGTGGGCAAAGGGCGCCTCGCAGCAGTAAATCTCCCACAGGCAAATGCCGAAGCTGTAAACGTCGCACTTGCTGTCGTAGGGCTTGCTCGCGAACACCTCCGGCGCCATGTAGCCAATGGTCCCGATCTGGCCGCCCATCTCGCCGGTGTTCTTTGGCTCCGCCCTGGCCACCCCGAAATCGATGATCTTCAGCTCCTTGTTGTCGGCATCGAGGACCACGTTCTCCGGCTTAATGTCTCTGTGGATCAGCTTGCGGGAGTGAAGGTAAGCCAGTCCTCTCCCGAGTTGTAGAGAGAGCTTGACCACTTTCCGCAGCCGGAGCTTCTTCCGGCGGTGCTTTTCCAGGTACGACTTCAGGGTGCCGGCCGAGTGATAGCGGGCCACCACGCAGCAAACCAATTCCTGGTTACTGCCGCCGGCTTGGCGGGAAACCGGGTTGTTGGTGTCGGATGTGTTTAATATCACGGCTCCTACAAACTGACGATCACAAAAAACCCATATATATATAATGAGGAGAAATTTTACAATGCTATATAGTATTTGTGTTATAGGTTTTTGTTTTAATGGTACAACTTAAAATTGTATATTTACGTTATTGTACAATTTCAGATTGTACTTATATTTTTGGTACAAATTTTTTTATGATACAACTTGAACTTGTACCTTTATGTGATGGTACAACTTCAAGTTGTAAAGTTGTACCATAACATAATGGTACAAATTGCTTTATGGTACAACCTAAACTTATAGATTTAATGTTATGGTACAACTTTAAGTTGCACATTAAAGCACCAATGCTATATAGCATAGTAGAAGTGCTCATATAATTAGACGAGTGCAAGTTTCTTTCTACAAAAACAAATTACGCAATTTTCATACAGATACTCTACTCTTTAATCGCAATCCGATCAACAATGTTGTCAAACCTGCGGGCTGACCCGGACCCGGTCGAGTTAATGGGTTAAGGGTAAATGTGTCACTCGTTTTAACCCGGAAATATAGAAAAAGTCATTATATTGTACTTGTCCTGATAAATTATATCAAAGTTATGGATTTATGTTGATGTAGGTATCTACTCTTACATTAGATCAACCTATGAAATAGCTCGAACGATTGTTATAGACCATACTTAGCATATACAATTATATATTCACTATACTAGACAGCCGAATTCCAATGTTGTTCAACCGTATTTATCTATCAAACTCCAAATCAACTTGAATTGAAATTCTAATAGGGTGCGTTTGGATAAGTGGATTTTAAATGTAAGGTATTTGAAATACTAGCATTTGAAATGGATGTATTTGAAACATTAGCATTTGAAATACATGTAATTCAAATTCGTTGTTTGGATACTCATTTGTAATTTGTTTGTATTTTTTATTTTATGATTTTCAATTTCAATTTTAATTTTCTGGTCACTTACTACAAATTTTGGTAAATTACAGTTTGGTACCCAAATTTATTTTTCCTTGCAATAGTACCTAAACTTTTAAAATTTTACAAAAAGGTCCTGAAATTTTGATGGTAAAATTACATTTTGGTACCTTTATATGTTTTGCCTCACACTATAATACTTAAAATTTTCATATTTTACAAATAGGTCCATTCTTTTGTTAGGAGGTATTTCAAATCACTAGTTGTTGAAATGTATTTGGAGTTGACAAAAAATACACTAGACATGTATTTGGAAATCACCCCATGAATTTGACACAAATCCAAATAACAAATGAATTAGTATCCAAACACATGATTTGGTATTTGAAAATCCAAATCACAAATACCAAATCCAAATAATTGTATCCAAACGCACCCATAAAGCCGTTATAAACATATGTTAATCATATAAAAATAGTTTTGAATCACGTTAATATTTGAAAATAGGATTATGCCATTTCTCCCTACTCTTGCACTCATGAAAATGGAATGTCTAAATAATGCCATCGTCAATGGATACCCCAGGGGAAATGATTTCCCCCCAATATATCTAAGAAGGCAATCAGATTTCGTGATTGGTTCATCATTAAACAAAGTTTGCAAGGTTTGATTCGTTAGTGTTCGACTAATACACAACGTATTATATTTCTTTTCAAAGGAATAACTCTTCATTAACGAGATGAATTTTCAAATGCTAAATATGGGAAACAATGGAAAGTTCAAATGGTCAAGATCAAAGCTGTATATGAGTATGCAAAATGTGCTGAAACTGGAAAGTGGAAGCTATGAATGAGATGACAATAGGTGGAGTTGGGTTGTTTTTCACAAAACTCAAACTCATGAATAGTAACACCAACAAATTATATCCTCCACCAACAAATTGTCGTAAGGACTAATAACACCAACAAATTGTCCATATTATTAGAACTATATTGTGATAAAGACTAATAACATCTATAGATTATCTAAATTATTAAATACAAAAATAACGTCATTCTATTTATTGGTGCAGATCGTATAAAAAACGTACCGAATTTAAGCAAAACCTACATCCTACCCTCCTTGGCAATTGCAAAAATGATTAAAATCCGCATCTTACCCAACTAACATTGGGTTTTACCCGATTTGACCATATCATATCCAATTGAATACCCAACAGTACTATAACACCATTACACCAAAAAACAGAAAGGGGAAAAAAAACAAAAAAAAAAAAAACAGGAAAAGCATTCCGAGCATTAGACGCTACCATAATTTGAACAACTTCTACTTGTTATAACCTGCAAGGCACAAGTCATAACTAGTTTTGACTCTTTCGATTTCCCCAAAAACAAGTAAAAAGAAAGAAGCTTTGACCCCATTCCTACGTGTAGATGAGAAAAACCAAGAACGCAAAAACTCTTAACTCATTCCTCGAGACAAACCTCATTATACATCGATGGCGATCCAGAGTACGCATGATTGCTATGGCTTTTTGAATTTGGGAATGACACTGAGATTAATATATTCACGGCTATCTCAAACTCTATTCTTGGATTATTGTAAAAAATCAATCAAGTCTTGTACTCTTGTAGTTCAGTTAGATGGATTCATTTGTATATGTGCTACAAAGAAACATAATGTAATTAGCCGATTTTACTATGGGAGAAAAACACTTTCTAAAATAAAAATGAAAAGGCGACGCAATGAGTAATGTCAAATTACTCGACGCTCTGATTAATTATTGGTAGACATATTAGGGTTAAAACCAGTCATCGTAAAATTCTGTTAGAAATTAAGATATAACAATTATAAGTTAAACGCAGTGAATAGAGTTTAGACAACACATGCAAATGAAAAATGGGAGTGGATAAGATATATAACCATGATGTTCATCACCCTACTTTACTCCGCATCTTACCACCCTAAAACGAATTCTGATAAGTAAGATTTCTTACTAGGGTGGTATGGTTTCGTACCATTTCACACCATTTATGAACTAATTTCTTATCATCCTAGTAAACGGAATTGTGTACAAGAACTCAAACCCTATCATATGATAGAGATCGAGAATATGTTTAATAGTCCTTGCTATAAGAACCGAATCGGATCATCAACTGGATCAATAGAAACGTCAAACCAATTTCAATAGAGGTTTGATCCATGTTCTTAGACGGGTAGGAATGCACCAAATGTTTTTTAATGGTTGAGCGTGAAACCAGATGAAACACCATGCTTTGATTAGTCCAGTGGTTCACTACTTTAACCACAAAAGAAAATTAAGAAGAAAAAAAAAACGTATACTAAGACCATCCAACTTTATTACTAAATTTGTATGTTCCTTCTCTTCTTGGTTTCCAAGCCTTTTTGTCGGTTTTACGTGATCTACTATCAATCATTAACTTGAGTACAACAAAAAAAATTATGCTTATTTTTGTGATATGATTTGAATGACCAGATCGACAGATCCACTTTTATAGCAACGGAGGCTATATCCTCCATCAACTCTCAAACTATATAAAATTACATGTAAGTTTTGTAATAAATTTTAGGGATTTAGTAGTTGGTACGCCTTTAGCCCCCTTTTTGATTAAATTATATGAATCAAGATTTTTAGGCCCCCTTTTCAGTTAAATTATTTGAATCAAAATTTTTAATCCCCTCTTTCAGATTTATGACTCTGCTACTGTGATTTGTAGATTATTTGGTGATGAATGATATACATTTGAACTTGTTTATGATTAGTGTCAATCAGTGCTAAATTGAAGTATTATATATATGTATATTATGTTATAGTGCACGAACGATTCTATCAATGATTAAGTGATGAACTATAAACCACTTAACTTTTCGGATAAGCGTCGAAAACATAATACATGTAAGTAAAATATACCATCCTAGTAGACTTCGAATTTTTGTGACTCATTCACTTTATTTATTTATCATAATTAACTTCAAAATTAGTAACTAGAGGAAGAGTAATTGCGAGGAGTGATTTTACCTGGCAGACGTTAGGATGGCGGAGTTGATGCCAAAGAGAGGCCTCTTGTCTCAGCCTAGCCATTAGCTGAGCTCTCTTTCTTTCCCCTAAACCACTTCTCCTCCTCTCCACCACCACCTCCTCATTGTTGTCTTCTTCCCCCCAATATTCTAGTATTTTCACTGCATATATTATATACATATACAACCATTTAGCCCTAAGCAACAAGTCATTAAATTTGAAACAATCACAAATTCAATATACACAATTCCTTAAAAAGACAAAACGAAAATAAAACCACAAATCAAATTATAAGCCGCCTCCACCCATGCACGGCAAAACATAACAAGACAAACAACCCCCAAGAAAAGATGTTAAAAGAGAGACCAAACAAAACTATGGTCATCGTACGGAGGCAGAGTTCGTGGAAAGACAAAGAGTTGATAGAAAAGACATTGGACGAACTTCCATACTACTAATTAGACAAACTATAGTTGTTTTGTGGTATTGAAATTTCAACTATCGAAGTTTTTAGGGTTAATACCTTATTTTGGCCCGAATTATGACCATATAATCAACTTTGGCCAGTGGTTTCAGAAATTAACATCCTGGCCTCAACTATGCAACATATAGACTCAATTGGCCCGACACATAGTTTGACCGTCAATTTGGACGGTCAACTCCGTTGACCGTTAGTCAACACGCCATGTCATTGCCTAGTCAGCCTAAAAATCATTAAAAAAATTATTTATTATCAAATTAACCAAAAATAAATTATAAAAAACATAAAATAAATTTATTTTTTTATTTTAGGATAATTTGAAAATGATAAATTATATAAATTAACCAAAAATTATCAAATTATTTTATATTTTTAAAACTTCCCAAAAAAATATAATTTATATAATAATTTTTAAATTTATGAAATTTAATTTGATAATTTTGGTTAATTTATAAAATTTAGCATTTTCAAATATCCCAAAGAAAATTATTTTATATTTTTAGAATTTTATTTTTTGGTTAATTGAAAAATGATAAATAATAGAAATTAGAAAAATAGTTTGAATTTTTTAATGATTTATATGCTAACTAGGCATTGACATGACATGTTGACTAACGGTCAACAGAGTTGACCGTCCAAATTGACAGTCAAACTATGTGTCGTGCCAATTGAGTCTATATGCTGCATAGTTGAGGCCAGGATGTTAATTTCTGAAACCACTGGCCAAAGTTGATTATATGGTTATAGTTCGGGCCAAAATAAGGTATTAACCCAAGTTTTTATGCTATGCAAAACGACCTTGGACGACTTTAGAATGATTTTTAATACGGCATGAAACAATTTTTTTTTCCGGTGAATTGAAAAAAAATATTTATTATATTATCTTAGCTTCAAAGAGATAAAAACAAATTAAGAAAAAAATAAATAAAAAATAGCCTCTTATTCAGTCAAGAATGTATTCAACGTAATCAAATATGTTGAACTCGCTTAATAAAAGCTTCACGTTGAATCCACATTCCATCTACATGTATTATATATGTATGGGTTAATATTTTTGTCTTACTCAAATTTTACCATCTTTAATATACTGATCAATCTTTTCAATATATAAAATCGCGCGACCTGAACTTAGTTCTACATTTTACTTAATTAACCAAACTCAAACATTATACATTGTAAAAATTGAGCAAAATCATATAGGAAAAGTTAGAGTCAGACAAAAATATTAACCCAATATATATATATTATATGCGGTGCCAACTGCCAACCTGCAACGTCTTGGCCGTCGTAAGTTCCAAGATGAACGGCGGCGTACGTTCCCCGGCCGATGAGCTGCTTGACCACCAGTTTCCGGGGATCGATCTCCCACTCCTCTCTTCTTCTTGTCACCATGCCATTCGCCGCCGCCGCCGCCGCCGCCGCTCCTGATTTGTTCCGGTGAATATTCTGGTAGTTGCGCTGCCTGCCGTCAGATAACATAAGCGCTCTGTCGAGATGGCGGTCAAGTTGGTCCAAGCTCTTCTTCAGATCGGCCATCGCCACTTTCTTCTTCGCCCCGTTCATCATCCTGCCGTTGTTGCTGCTCGTACTAGTAGTACTGCTACAGCCGCCGCCGCTTTCTTCGTCATCGCCGTTTTGATGGCCTTGCTCTTCCATATTGTGATTTAATAATTAATCCTGCTTTGGGGAAAAAAGGAATGGTACGTGGGAAATGTTCATATAGAGAGAAAGAGAGAGAGAGAGAGAGCTAGCGTTAATCGATACTCAATTAGGATATATATGCCTGTATTAATTATAGAGAAGGTAATCAATTGGGCTCTTTAATTACTTTGATACGGTCCGGCAAGATATCTTCATTCTTCACGAGGACATGGGCTTTTTTGATTTGGTGATATATAAAAGAAATCGCCATCCGCACCACGCAAATTTGTTCAGTGTCTTCGTTTGGGTCGAGGGGCCGTGAAATACGTATTCATATTGTTAATTGCCCTTATATTAGAGGTAGTTGCGTAGGGTAAAAGACCTCGGGTACCACTTAAATTTGAGAATTGGGATAGATATACCACTTAAGTTTGAAAAGGGCGTTGGGTACCACTGAACTCTATTATATGTGCACCCGGTACCACTCAAGTTTACTGTTAAGTGCATTCCGTTAAAGTTCACAGAATATTATGGAATATTCCGTTTTCTAAATTTCATAATTGGTCCTTCTACTTTTCTCATTGTTAAAAAATCATTTGGACTTATGAAAAATATCATTTTTTATTGTTTAGCTAAAATCCTCTTTTGTATACATGATACCAAAACAATTTTTGAATAGAATTTTAGAATCAATTATCATTATAATTATTTTTATTTATCATTATGTGTTCTAATAATTGAATTATTCCATGAATGTTCTAGCTTTTATAGTCATATTTTATTTTCTACATATTTTACCGAATGTTGTAGCTTTTGTATTTTGTTTATTACTTGGTTACTTTTCATATCTTTTCGTTCTAAATTTTTTCAATTAGTGAAATATGTTTAATTCTTTCTGATTGTGTTCCATTCATCTTTTTTGATTTTGATGTATTGATGATCAATTAGGTTCTATTTTAACTATTTTGTTTTGGTGAAACTATTTTAACTATTTCTAATATTACTTCTAATTGAATTAGAGGGTTTAAATAGATATTCTAATATTTATTATTATATTGTAGCATATTTATTATTCTTCTTGATATTCGTTTACTATTTTTACTAATTTATCTATTTTATTGAAATTTTTTGATAAGTCATTCTAGTATTAATATGTTTAGATGGTTTTCTAATTATTATATTAGATAAAACTTGTTGAAATATAGTTTTGAATGTTTTTAAAAGTTTTGGGTATCAAAAAGTAATTAAAAGTTTGGGTTGGATGGAAAAGTAGACGGATGCACATTTTAACAACTTTAATGGTATCCGACACCCTATTCAAACTTAAGTGGTATGTCTACCCCAATTCTCAAAGTTAAGTGACACTCGAGGTATTTTACCCTAGTTGCGTATTCATATTTCAAATTAACTGGGGTCAAAAAAATTGTATTTCTAAAATCTATGCTTTTAATAGAGTTTTTAATAGAGTTTGAGTTGATTGAGTTCTCTAGTATAGCTAAAATTAGTGAGAGTGGGTTAATAAGTTCAAAGAATCGGCTAAAACCTGTCAAGAACCAGTTGCTCCCAATAACTCGAGTTGTTGGTAGAGGTTCAATCGTGGATTATATACCACAAGACTAACACGCCGCCTCAAACGAAAACCACTCACAAGGGCTTGAAGTTTGCACAAGTCTTAAGACAAGGATACCATGTGCTTAAGAAATGGGGGTCACCGGGAATCGAACACAAGACTTCTCGGTCACAGAAGACTCTGATACAATGTCAAGAACCAGTTGATCCCAATAACTCGAGTTATTGGGAGCAACTGGTTCTTGACATGGTATCAGAGCCTAGAACCGAAAGGTCATGTGTTCGAATCTCCACGACCCCCAATATTAAGCAACTGGTTCTTGACATGGTATCAGAGCCTAGAACCGAAAGGTCATGTGTTCGAATCTCCACGACCCCCAATATTAACCGTTGTCTTTCAAGCACATGGTATGGTGGGCCTGTGCAAACTTCAAGCCCATGGGTTGGCTTTCGTTTGAGGGGGCGTGTTAGAGAGGTATAAGATCCAACATAACCTTCTCCCAACAACTCGAGTTATTGGGACCAAGTGGTTAGTTCGCTAACAAAACCTACATATCCCAATATTTTTTTTATTGGAACGAATTACTCTGAAAAGACATATTTCCTATCTTTTATTTCATCTCTGGCGAAATACAAGCAAGAGGAGCTAATTCAAATCCTTCGGTTAAAATAAAAACAGCCCCTTGTGATAATTGGAGGGAAATCCTTGGATACCAAGCCTAGGGTATGCACTACCTTGTAGATCAGCTAATGGAGGTGACCAACTCACTAACCCAAAATAATCCCCCCCCCCCCCCCCATGTTCTATTGTCTCGGTTCCTTCACTGAGACTGACACAAACAAACACACTTAAAACACGAATATCCACAATAACGAGTTAAATTGTTATCCCTAATTGTTGGAGTGCAAATTAAGGTTTTTAGAATACGAAAGTAAAGTATGCATTAGAGAAAAAAAGGTTGATATAACTTTATGGTTGCAGCTAATATACACAACTGAACAAATCTAACACCCTAAAATAAGTACCTACCCAAAAAAATAAAAAATACATTTTGATCATATCATCTAACACTCCCTCCAACCGGAGCATGTATATCACAAATGTCCAGCTTGCCGTTGAGCTCGTGGAACTTGTAAACAAACAAGGAATAGATCATAATATTCGCAGTACGGCCGTTAGTATTGATGTGTAGGAGTTTGATTAATCAGGAAGCACGATTTTCACAATCAAATGGCAATAAACACACCTTCACGACATTTAATAAACACACCTTCCCTTGTCTTTCTGCGTCAACAAACCGTTAGTGATGGGTCAGAAAGAAAAAGAAAAAAAACATTGAACAGGATATCAAAATTAGGTCAATAACCCAGAAGAGTTCAAAGATACCTTCATACAAACAGGCTCCCAAATGAGAGACAGAGGGGGGAAACAACTACAACCAAAAGTCATGCTTCATCTTCTACAATATGATTCCGTAAAGCAAAACACAGTAACATCCAAAATGGTGGCCGATGCACTTTCTTTACAGGCCTAATGCATCTAAGAAATTTCCTTTACTTGACATGCGGTGTTGAACCATTGGTTACTTTGTCAAACCAAGTGTATGGTCTCATTCGACTACGTACAGTTCTGAGTAGGCTACTGCTCAGAATAGCAAAATTTCCTATTTGTTGATGTTATCTAAACGTACCAATACGATCATGAATCATCTATGTAGTTCCTGAAGGAGGGGGGAGGGCGATTTTCGTCAGTACGGGAACAACCTTTTGCCGTTCCTCTTCTTCTCAGGAGTCGCAAGTATTCCTTTCACTCCATATGTAGTCATCTGGAAGTTCTCAAAGGCCTGTGAAACTGCCTCCACCTGCGTGACAAGGAAATTGGGGGCCGTTTTGCTTCGTATTAGGAGAGATCAATGGATTATTTGCAATTTCTTAGGGGAAAAAAAAAAAAAACACAGAACATTTTGACATACCAGTTCAGGTTTCTTGGCGTACACTCTCACGATCTTGTCTTGGCAAACAGCAGGGATTAAGTGACTGATGTGCTCCACTGGTATCGTGAATTTGTCCGTGCTGTCGTGGTCCTGAGAAAGGTATATAGGTGAAAGGAAAAATCAACGAGATTGGAAAGCTACAATATTAAATGCGCCTGGAATGAATCCCGACTACACTCTCCAGAGGAAAGTCAGGATTGTGTTCTTGGCAATGTCATATTGGAACCAAATTAAGAGTACAATATATTGTTTTTGTAGCTAGCAAGGAGAAGGAATGGGTAAAAGTTGGCATTTGGAAAGGTTTGTTAATAGATTAGTACCTGAAAAAACTTAACGCTGGGGGCGGATGGGTAGATGCATGAGGAAAACAACAAGACTGAGTTAGAAGAAGCAGAAGCAAAAGTAACCAAGCAAAGGAGTTAACGTTAGTTACCTCTCAAGAGGGTTGGAACTTCCACGGGTTAAGTCAATCTGGACAGTGCTCACAGCAATATCTTCTTCTTTCAGTGTAACATCACTAGATTTCTGTTTTAAGCAGGCAGCATATGATGTTTTAGAAACAAAACATCACTAGCAGTATTAATAGAAAACAAGGAGAGAACTGATGTGTCATGTCACCACCTGGGAGCATATAATATCCTGTGGAGTGACGTCATTGAAGTGGTCTAGCTTTTCCTTAGGAACAGCAAACTCATTGCAGAACTGGAACCCATAGCAGACAGAGGCAAACATTACAAAAACTAAAAATGAACAAGCAGCGATAGGCGTATGAAGACCACAAGAGAAAACACACTCCCACTCCACACTGACATATACAAGTTGGGCTACTACCTGGTATATATCTCTTCTTCTGATGCGTAGGACCAAATCTCTGGCCTCTTTGAGTTCTGGTCTTTCGTCAACTTCGATTCTTTTCAATATTGTGTCATCCAGCTGTGCGAGCATTGTACAACAGAAGACACTGATGATTAACCACACGTGGGAAAACAAAATGACGCCATTGATAAATTCGGCTGATTGACTTTCAGATTGAGTTGATGTTCAACATGTTCAGACCTTCCAAAACTCTCCAGGGTTTTGAACAGCGTCAGCAATTCCAAGGGACTCATTTGCTTTGGATAGGGCATCAACAGCCATGAGTTCAATCCCCTGAAGATTGCAGACCTCAGTAAACTTCGAACAGCTTAATATTTTATTTTCCAGAATAATGTAAAAAGAGTTTCACCTTCACTTTAGCATGTGTATAGACTGTGCGGTGCATTTCTGCTCGAGTGGAAAACAGCTTGTAGACTGTGAGATCTATAAACAATGACCCATTGTCAACAACAGTATACAGTAAAATGGCTGCAGTAATTTAGGATCAAGTTCAAATAATACTAACAATCTTTGGCACGGTAACAAATCTCATCACCCAAAACCCTCATGGATCCCATTAACCTGAATGTCAACAAAGCACCCAGCAAACAAGGTCAGATCAAAGAATGAAATGGTCCCAACTTCTCTCAGGGTGTTCATGTGTCAACTTTAACCCTTGCATCAATTCATGAAAACATGCTCAGGTCAGAATAAACACTAAACATGCATAATGTTTGGAAGAGTACACACCTTGGGAACATAAAACCACAGCCAACTCCGCAAGCCCGTGAATCCCGAACAAGGTAGTCAAACCTAGATAAAGAGTATTGGGATTAGCATACAAGAACGTAATCATCATGAACAAGATGAAGTAAAAGAAGAAAAGATAACTCACTTGTCAACATCTACTCCATTCCGGCCGTTTGCAACAATGTCATAAAGAAACTGCTTCTCAGTGGGACTCTGCACCCATAGAGATCTCAACAATTAACAAACTTAACACATTGAAAATTTTCTAAATAAAGCTCAGCATGTGAGATAACTTACATTGCGTGAACCATGCTCAGTACTTGCTACGATCATATCCTTCCAAAAGAACAAAAAAAAAAAAAACATCTAATAATGGGCCAAACACAGCTGGGGAGAGGGAACACAGGGGAATAGTACTAATGCCATGAGACTCCAAACCTTTGCTTTCTTTAGGCATTCTGGTTCAATGTCAATGTGGTGTTTGTCCACAATGTAATCTATCATGCTGATAGACATGTCCTCATGAGACCTGAAAACAAATTTTGGCATTACTCAACTTCGGAATTGATCATAACTGAATGCTGGAGGTACTGTTCAGCCTAGGGTACTCATCAAAGCATCTAATGCAGAAACATCAAGAACCTTGGATATGAGAAAATCTCGCAACACGTTTTGAGAATCTGATGGCAGATAATTAGCTCAGGCAAAAATCAATGAACTAACCATGGGGCGCCACTAAGAAATCGGGGAAGAAATTGACGCTCAAACGTGTGGCTGAATGGTCCATGTCCGATATCATGCAGTAATCCTGGAAAGATGAGAGATGCAACAGGTAAAGCTAGAAGAAAACAGCTGCATGCAGAAACATCAAAAAACCCAAAATACACTTCGCTCACCGGCAAGCTTCACGGTCTTTATATCAAAATCCTCAACGGGAAAGTCCGGATCCTTTCAAGTATGAACCATTGATTCAGAAAGGTTGGCCATCAACACAAAAACTAAAAATGAGGCATGACAGAACATGTTGGCCTCGATACCTGCTGAGCTCTTAGACGGTAGGCTACTTCCCCAGCCAGATGGTATACACCTAAGGAGTGCTCGAACCGAGAGTGCACTGCTCCAGGGTATACCGTGTTTGTTAGTCCTGCAAACAAGTAACTCTGACTCTGAGTCAGTGGAAGGCAAGAGTACATCAAGGAAATCGAGTGAGCAGAAGGTGCAAAACGAATAGTTTAGGAATGGATCTGCAAAAGTGTTAACAATCACCGAGCTGCTTGAGATCCCGAAGCCTGCATCAAGGAATAGCATAGTCAGGTTGTATTCTTGATTATGGGATAGAAGTGAAAAATTATCAAGTATCCACGTCGAACTTGCCTCTGAAATTGTTCAGTATCGACGAACTTCAGAGCAAGCTGAAACACAATAAAGAGAGACAGAATCCATCGTCAAACTCAGCACTATTACTCCTTCCTTCCAGAAAAAATCATCGGTAACAAGAGAACAATCTCTGGATCAAATCACCAGATATCAACGATAGCATTCCACACTAGAAGCGACTGTTGCTCAAACAAGTAAAACAGAAAGACGAGAAAGGACGTTGACGTGCTATTTCCAAGAAAGAGTCAAAATGCTAAAATTAGCTATGTTCACTAGACGTTTCGGAAGCTATAGGCATCGTTTCATCATTCGCGTTTCACCGGACGTTTCGAACCTTTTGGAGGAACGGTTACTTGCAGACTACCAAGAAAAATCCTCCTACGCAACGTCGGCGTTCGTTCCATCAATTCCGTGTACGCAAATCGAATCTACGTTAATAGAAAAAGAATTCCGGCCGGCGAGTACGAAGTCGAGTCCGCAAAATCGTCAATCATGCACAGCTAAACCACAAACACAGAGATTCCGCCGGAAATCGGACAAATCGGTTCAGAGACTCAAAAATCGATTCAATAGCTCACAATGAAATCGAACGGAGAACAGAAGTAACAACAGGACAGAAACCGAGCCGAAACAGAGAGGAGGAATTCCGGAACAAACTAGTGAGGGAGAGAGGCAAGCAGCGAGAGAGTATGTACCGGGTCCAAATAGATGGTGCCATGGACGTTGTCGAGTACTTCCTTCGAGAATCTGCGATTCTGGCAGTAAGACGCATAGTTGGAGGCGCAGTAACCGCCGTTGGAGGAAGCTCCCATTGTCGTCGACCTCGGCTGCGGTATGCGGGAACGCCGCTCACACTGTAATACCTGGAAAAGAAGAAGACGATGTTAAGAACTGAAAGCGCACAGAGAAGGAAGCTACTAAAGCAGGCTGGAAGAAACGTTTACTGTTCGAATTTCTTGCGAGAGGTGATGGAAATGGCGTAAAGAGAGGGAAGATAGACAAGCGGCAATGAAGAACGCTATAAATAAGGACTGGAGGAAGGAGTGTGCGGAGAAAATGGGGGGGAGTGGTGGTGTCGTGAATTTGGCAATGTGCCGCCAAAATGCTGGATTTCAGTCCCACGCGCTCGGTTGCACGCCTCAAGCGCGTGGAGGACTTAATTCGTTTGAGAAAAATTGAAAAAGAACGTTCCGTCGGTGGTACTGACGGGAGTAACGGCGGGGCATACAATTATGAGCAACGAACGTCGATTCAAATGGACGGGAAATTGAACCGCCGTCTGTCTTTAACTAACACTAACAGAGTAACAGTCTCCCCAATTATTAAGGAAAAATGCTTACCTGGCGGTTCCCCCAGCCAGCTGGCTTTGGTGGGACCTCCCTTTTCAACGACTGACGGGGATGTTCGGAAGGGAGGAGAAATGTTTTGGGACGATGTTCATAATCAATTGGGTCGTTTGATTGTGCGAGCGCTCTGCATTCATCTAACGGGTGCATAGCGTTCGTGCATAATTCGATGATCGATATAAGTACATTCTCGAAGATGAGAAAACATTTCAACATACTAGCCGTGTGCAGCTCGCATTTCTCATTAGGTCAGAGTAAAACGAGTCCACCTATGGATCGATTCGCGGGTTGATAACCATGGTATTTAAGGAAAATTGGGGAAGGAGTCTGCAGGAGAACGTTACGAACTTACGACAGTACGTTGGAATATGTTTTCAGATAAGACAGGATAATGGAATTTAGACATGCTAATAGAGAATAAACAGAGAACCTGCTTTCGTGGTGCTCAAGGGACATAAACTCCTCGCGTCGATAAGTATCGAAACCCTTCTTCTACAAGTACAAATTCTGGATTCAAATTTGCATATTAAATTTGATTTTCAGAGTCTTGTTTACCCTATTAACGATCATCCGAACAGCAGTCACTAATGCAATGTTAGAATTCATAACAATAATATCATTAACTAACATGATTTGACACATGGGGGAAACGCAGTGCTTAACCATTGGCTACAGCCATCTGGAACTTTTCAGGGACTCGGAGGACAGGAGCCTGGAACGTCCCGGGCTTCCCCAGCTGGCCGCAAGCAGCCATCTGGTCGTCACCTCTGCTCTGTCGCAAGAACACTGAGCATTTGCCCTGTGCTAGCAGATTACGGAACTCGATCATTTTGTCTATGCTGGTTGGTCTGAATTGGGAGCCACAGTGAGGATTGAACTGAATGAGATTGATCGTGCATGGAATACCTTTAACTAGATCGATCAGCCTCCCTGCATCCTCAACACTGACAGACAACAACAAACAGATCCACTCAAGATGATTTCTTATGAGGAAGGAAATACTTCGATGGACCAATAAGCCGTGAGAAAAGGTCCATCATCATCTAACCTGTCGTTTACCCCAGCAAGCATTACATACTCGAACAGCACTTTGTACTTGTGCTTGCACTGAAGCTCCTGTCGCAGGGTGTCGAGAAGCAAGCTGATATTGTACTTGCGGTTGATTGGCATGATCCAGTTTCTTACCTGCAAAAGATTTGGTAGTTGGGAAGAGGGGAAATCATTATCAATAAGCAAGATGTGTTTGTTCAGGAAATCAAGATAGATAGATGTCTCTTGCCTGGTTACTGGCACTTGCTCACCTCATCAGTAGTTGCATTTAGACTGACAGCCAAAGAGCAGTTGGATTCATGGAGAAACCGTTTGAGCTGGGGAACAAGCCCGCTTGTAGAAACAGTGACCTTCCGAGGGCTAAACTGAAGTCCTTGCTCATCCACCATTATGTCAGCTGCTTTTATTACATTTTCAATGTTCTGAAGAGGTTCTCCCATTCCCTGCCAATCATTGACAAGTATCAGCCGTTTAAACTTTGTTTCTTTACAGCAACCACTTCAGCACATTTAAATCTGGAGTTCTGTTGAGAGTAGAGACTACCTACCATGAAGACAACGTTAGTGATGGAACCAACTTCACTTGTGAGTAGACGCCTTGCAAATACAGCTTGCTCTACTATCTCAGCTGTAGTCAGATGTCTCGTCAAACCCATCCTGCAATATTGATCGAGGAAATGCAGCAAAGCAATCAAGAAACATAAAGATGATAGATGGACTTGGATTTCAAATGGGATATGAAGAAAAGGCTTGCCTGCCAGTGTAGCAGAACTGACAATTCATAGCGCAGCCCACCTGACTCGAAACACAAACCGTCGTCCTACCTCTATCACATGGTATCACAACTGTTTCTATAACTAGTCCATCATTTAACCTGAACAAAACCTGCATTTCTGTGAGTTTCAAAATCAATGAGAAGATTCTTGTAGCTTATGCAAGGTTGGAGTCGAATCACAGATAGGTACCAGGTTTGAACAAAATAAGGAAGAGACATGGGGCAAGCATTCTATCACAATGGAGGGCAGGAATCAGAAGTGCAGACGGTTAAAAGGATTACCTTTCTGGTTCCATCAGACGCAGTTACAACGTTTTGCAAGGTCAAGGCATTCAACTGAGCTTGCTCACTTATCAACTTCTTGAAGTCCTTGTTCAAGCCTACATACCAGCATAAAAAAAAAAATCAACAGTCATTCCTCCTTTCAGCAAGCAAGAAAAATTAAAGCCAAAAACTCAAAGAGAAGCCCGGTAAGCAGGCACCTTCCAATTCGTCAACACAGTGCGCCCAGATGTTGTTCAAGCCATACAACCGCTTCCACAGCATCATAGCCTGACCAGGTCTGAATCCATGGGACTGAACCCACTTCTGCCATTAGCATACAAACCAACATCGAATCATTCAGATTGTTGGAACCGAAGCTTTCAGCAGTAAATTGTTCAAAGCACAATCCTAACCAAACAGACTGAAAAAAAAAACATACTTCGAGTTCGGAATATCTCATTTCCTTGAGGAGCACCTTCGAGCCATCGCCCCGAAATTTAGCTCCGGCGTCACCAGGTCCCGCTACAAAGAGCAACCAAACATAGTAGATATACAGACCAAGTAAAAGGGCGAGTGAAGCCCCGAAATCAGGAACCGCGTGACAGGGAATTGAGTGCTTACCGTCGCCGGCTGAACTTTTTGGAGACACTGAAACTGAAGAATGCGGCGAGGAGAAGGCCGTGTTTGAAAAGAAGCGGCGGCTGGGAGTAAAATTGAGGGTGAGATTATGTGGTTGTCCTGGCGGCAAGGTTATCTGAGGGTTATGAAGAGCAAGGGTAGCAGTCGCAGAGGAGGAGGAGAGTAACGGAGGCTGTTTGAACACCAGGTTAGAGTTGGGTCCGGCGAATCGCATTCGCCTTATCCAGACACAGCCCATCTCCATTGCCTAAGCTTGCTGTTCGAGCAAAACCACCAGCGCAAAAGTATGAAGGGATGGTATCATGGTAGCCTGGTAGGCAAAGATACAATCTGGTCTTTGGTCATGTAACCTAATTATGTTTTCTTTAAGAACCTATGGTTTATTTTTAACATGTTGTTTAGTTTTGGTGATAGTTAAATCGATGTATTGTTATCATTTCACAATATTTGTTCTTCGTAATGTCAATGTAGAATTGGCTCGAACTAGTTGTTGTATACTCATTTTTATTGTCAAACAAGATTATTCGACCAAATTGCTTCACGTGATGCATTAGAACTAATTGTCTTGTTGAATTCCATCAGACAAATGACCCCTCATTATTTTTTCTGTTTTATTTTGAAAATATGTCATAATATTGATACATCATTCAATATTGCATCAAAATTATATCATATAATGTAATATCAAAATTATATCATATAATATAATGCTCCTCAAAATTTCATGACGTTGATGCATCATTTCACAATATTTGTTCTTCGTTTCAATTTCAAATTAGCTCATTTCACAATATTTGTTCTTCGTTTCAATTTCAATTTCTTTGTTTGACCAAATTGCTTCACATGAGACCATTACAACAAATTATCTTGTTGAACTCCATCATGCAAACGATTTCTCATTGTTTTTTTAGCATGTAATTCTACAATTCAAAGTAACCATGATATCTATCTCCAATGCCCAAAGTATTTGAAATTTATATGAGTGTTTCTAGAAAAGCAATGCAATGCACTTTAATCTTCCAACATATGTATGTTACCACCTACTAAACAACCCCTAAAGAATTTGTATCGAAACGTACCATTTCTATTGAACTCACTTAACGATGACAAGTTTACTGCTAATGTATTATCGGCAGACTCATTGAACAAGATCTATCTATCGAATGCTATGTTAATTTGCAATTATTTCCCTGCAATTATTTGGAGACAAGCGTCGTCCGAGAGATACATTGACTATTTGGACATGGGAGGAAGAGGAAGATACTGGCAAAAGGTTGGAGAATTGGAGGGTACAGAAGTGACATTGCGTAAGTTAAGTTTTCGCTTTGGCTTTGATGACGGTTGTTATTGTGAAGTTAAAGGCTCGGAGTTGACATTATTTCATGTGGTTGCTCAGCATTCAAAAAAGCCGGAAATCGTATACCTATGGGGTCATCTCCCTGAAGATCGTCGCTGGCGTTCTTATTATGTCTTCTTCTCCTGCAATTTGAGAAGCGAGGAATTGGACTTCTTTGGTTATACAGGAAGTTTTGAACAAGACCAGACGCACCTCCAGCCTAGCTCTCTTTTTTATCTTTTGCTTTTGTATTTTAAATTATTCTCTGAGATGATAGGGTCTCCATAGTAGAAACGACTAATAAAAAAATAGACTAATGTATCACACAATTTCTTTTAAGGTCTCCATAGTGTAGATGTAAAGTGGCATCAAATCCAAACTGATGCCGTTTGAAATCTCAGTTCTTTTGATTCATGCGTGACATAATATCATATTGATCGACCTTCGATTGTGATTGTCATAATCAATCTAGCGTCCAAATGTAAAATGAGAAATGTAATATATAAAAAAGCCGTCAGAAACAGGAGCTCAGTCAATTGATAAAGCTTCCACCATGAGCATGACCAACGAGATTAGAATGAACCCAATCTTAACAAGCAATCTACTTTCTCTTCTACTTATTCTGTATATGCAT